TGTAGAAATGATGATGCTCTAAAGACATGAGACCTCTTTGCAGGTGGCTAGGTCACTGGGAGCATCAGTCACCCTTGAAGGGACTGATGTAATTCTTATGGAGCCCTCATTGATTTTCTTCAGACGGCATGGCTAGAAAAAGAGCAACACTGATCCTCCACGTCTCTTCCTTCCTATCTCACCATGCATGCTAGTTAGCCGATTGGGTCGATTTGAGTAGGAAATGCAAACTAAACTGGATCAGCACAGTTTGGATGTGCCTGAAGGGATTTACTGCAGACAAAAACCCCACCCTGGCTGTGAATGGCACCAACCAACAGGTCTGTAGCCTGAATAAAAGGGAAATGAAGAAGGAAGGCTGCTTCTGTCTCTTGGGAGGAGTGCTACTCTTCCTCTTCACCTTGGACATTGTCTCCTGGCTCCCAGCGCAGGCCCTTCAGCCTCTGAAGATGGACTTGCTCAGGACTCTACAATGAGCTCTAGGCCTTCCTCTGGATCCTTCAGCTCCCCAGCACGCACACAGCCCTATTGCCCTCTTCCGTGCCCGACTCTGCCAACAGCCACTATAAGCCTATCTCATGAATCCTTATTTATTTGTACATCTTACACTGAATCTGTTTCTCTGTGGATACGGGTCGGTGCACCATGTGACCTCTCTGCACATGCTCCTGCCATTGTGAAGCCCTCTCCAGAGCTGAAAAAAAGCCAGTGCTGCTCTTGCATTTCCAGAACTGTGAGGCAAATATGCTTCCACTCTTCCCAAATCACCCCGTTGTCGGGCACTTGACATGGTAATGGGTAATAGACTGATACACTGCCCCAGCATGCAGAGGTTATCAGACCCAGCCCCCAGGAGTGATACCCTCTGCTGTTTCCCAGAATGGCCTCCTTGCATTACTAGGGACCTTGACCAACCGTCAAGAGAAATAAATCCCAAACCTCATAGCATCATATTTTTAATGATCCTTTATGAAACTCTTCTAGTGTATTTATTTGCTGGACTAGACGTTTCCTAAGGACTGGAACTAGATCCGTCTGTGTCACACCACTAGGTGTGAGAGGCCAGCCATACACAAGAAACTCAGTAAAGATGTGTTGCGAGAATGCACAAGCACACGGTGGTGCAAAACCACACGCCCTGTGTCAGGCCTCATGCCACTCCGAACGGTGACAGCGAGCCTTACCCAGCGTGGCACAGGAGCCGGCGAGGAAGTCTGTGGACTCGGGTGGGCAGAGAGGGCCAGAGAGCCTGGTGAATCTAAACACTAGGTAAACAAGTAGCTTCTTAGAAGCGAAGCCAAGATGTGCGCCCCGTGACAGTCAAATGTTCCCAAACATCTGGGTGTTGATTTGCTGGCTCCTGGCCACCTGTTGGCTAGGGGAGGAAGCCCCACACTGGGGAGCAGAGCACCTGGTGGCCCTCCAAAGAGAACGCTGGTGAGGGCCACCCAGATTGGACAGGACCAGACTTCCGGCCGCTCAGTAGGCTGATGGAGTCCCTGGCCAATGATGTATCAGGGAGGACCAAGGGGTATGCGCTGCAGAGCCCCTGCGTAAAGTTTGTTCTCTGTGGGTGTCAGCTGCCCCTGGAAGCAGTAGCATGCAACACGCCCTGGTACCTCACTGAGTGCCACAGTGATAGGGCAGGCTCAGCCTCTCACAGGTCCCAACCTGACCACGGCCACCTGAGCTTTGGCCCCGACTCCTCTGCCACGTAGATTCACAACCAACATCAGTCACGTGACAGTCACCAAGAAAGAACCACCCTGAGTGGCTAAAAGAACCAGAAATGTTGAGTCCCTCTTCCCTAGGGAATCTGAGCTGAGAAGAAGGCTGAGCCTCTGAGGCCGGGAAAGGGTAGCTCGGACTCCTTTCCGCGGGGGCCCCAGGAGGACCCATCAGCCACCCCCAGCCTCCTTTCAACATTGATGTCCTTAAGGAACAAGACCTGGCTGCACACCGAGCCACATTTCCACCTCTCACACACACCCAAGCCTTCTCATCTCAGACTGAGGCAGCTGCCCACTCCAGGCAACAGCATGGTCTCTGCCACTGCCCCAAGCACCGTGCAGAACCCACTGCCAGTTGCTCCTGGCAGCCCTGCCATCCCCGTGAGTTGGTGGTATGGACGTGGTCTCCTTTCACCAATGAAGAAATGGGGGCTGGGAGAGGGTAGGCACCTGCTGAGGTGGCTCCCTGCAGTGTCAGCACCCGAGTGCCATCAGACCCCCAAACCTGAGCACTCCCCCACAGCACTCCCCCACTTCTGGTCCTGGATTCCACCCCCAGAGTAGATATGTGTGCGCATATCTTGAAGGACAACAGGCAGGACTAACGCACTCACGCTTCCTTCAAAGCCCAAATCACGCATCACCCCCGCTGGAGTTTTCTGCCCCATCTGGGGCTCAGCTGAGTCACGTGCACGCATACCCGACTGTCACTTCACAAACCGGGCTGCACTGCTGTCTAGTTGCATGGGCGCCTCGTCCGTACTGGACCCGGCCCCTGGCAGGCAGAGATCCTGCCCCTTCTGTTGCAGAGAACTCTCCAGCTGCCCCAGCCTCCTGTGTGGTCTTCAAGCACCCCACACTGGCTCCGCAGAGTTCCTCGGGACCCCTCCCTTCCCCTGTCACTGTGCACCACAGGCCCCAATATAACTCGCCACCCAGCATTGCTCTCTCCCTGGCATCGGCTCTCAAGTGTGTTGGCTCACTAGCTGCACTGTCTGTCCCCTGATCTGGTGGAGCATCCTTGTCACTCTGGGCCTAGCACTTACCTGGCATGAGACACATCAGGACAGCCATTAGCCCCTACAGAATGAATGACCCTCAGTGTCAGGCAGAGACAGACCTTCAGCAGGTGCATTTATTCTCAATTAATCATTTTAACAGAAGTATCTTAACAGCCTCCCAAGAGGGAGCAGAATTTGTCCTTGCTCTGTGACGGGTCTTTCTCTCTGCATGGCAATCTACTTCTTTCCTCTCAGAATGTCTCTTCCTGTCACAGACATAGTGACTTTGGAGACAAGGCCAAGAGCAAAAGCACAGCCCACCTGGAAGCTGTCCACCCTCCAGCAGCCGGACCCAGCCCACCGGCTTTACTGTCGGTTCAGCCACAGACACAGACTAAGTCATTAATTGACTGTTGATTGATCCAGCCCCTGCATAGCCCACCACTAATCTAACAAAGTAGGCAACTGGGAGGTCTCAGACTTGGGCTTCTGCCAGGCCCTCTGAACTGCTAAGAAGAGCAGCTCACAGAGCAGCATGCTCAGAGGACACTGCCCCAACAGAGCCATCTGCAGTTACACCAAGGAGGCAGGGGTCTGCAGATGGCTTAGGCAGGGGGACAGGACCAAGACAGTCTGAGCTAGAGAAATACCTTCTGGGCCCAGGGGACAGACCCAGGACAGTCTGAGCTAGAGAAACACCCTCTGTGCCCAGGGGACAGACCCAGGACAGTCTGAGCTAGAGAAACACCCTCTGGGCCCAGGGGACAGACCCAGGACAGTCTGCACCCCTGAGCTAGAGAAACACCCTCTGGGCCCAGGCCCTGGTAGCGAGCAGGAAGGTTACCACCCAGGGTGTGCAGAACAGTGGTTCTCTTGGCCCATGAGGACCCGAAGCTTAAGTCTCAGGGCTACTCCACCAGAAAACTGCCTTGGCTCTGTTCAGTTGATCCTTTTGCTGATGTCTCTGGACCATGTTCTAGTCCTGGGCCCAGGCCACTGTCCTCAGAGAGCTAATCACCCAACGTTAGTCAGTGCCGATGGGCACAAGATGGGAGTGGGGGCTGCTGGCTCTGGGAAGGACTGTGAGTGGATGTTGGTAGAATGGGGACCCATAATCCCCAAGCAAGAGTAGATGGGAGCACACCGGGGGCCTCACGACCACAGCCAGGGACCTCCAGGAAGAGACACGGAACCAGGAAGGTGGGCACAAGAAGACCCTCTGGATGACCCGACCCACAACAGTGGCCCAACTGCTGTCCCCACAGAGACATAAACAGGAAGGAGTGGGGAGGAGGCCGAAAATCTCTGCTTTCCAATCTCTAGGAGGTGATGCTCTCTGCCCTAGGTCACTGTCACTGCACTGGATGATACCTTGTGTCAACTTGAGAAGCTTAGAAATTTAATTTAGTGACTTAGCAGAGAGTCAGGGTTCCTACTTTGTAAACATCCTCATCCTGTGCAAGAGGTGGGCGTGGACACTGTGTGAGTTCTACACCGCACCGCAGCATAGCCTGCTTAGGATCTAAGGAGGGGAGAGAGGCTTGCTTGGAGCTGCAGCTGTTGCCTCTCCCTTTATTCTTTGCTGTTTTCCACTGCCAGGAATGGCTGCCCTCTGCCTTGTGCACTCAGCCTTGGAGCCAGCTGTGTATGGACTGAAACCTCTGCTAACTGTGAGCTAAATAAACCTTTCTTTTCTTCATTTTGGGTGCTGGGTATTTTGTCCCAGCAATGATGAAAAATAGCCAAGACAGTAACTAAGCTCCGTGCACTTGGGATTGGCACACTGGTAGGTACGTCGTGCTTCCAGAACAGGTTTAAATTGTCAGGGGTTGGGCTGAGGAGATAGCTCGGTGGCCTGAGTGCCTGCCTGGCAAGCGCAAGGACTGGGGTCCAATCCCCATGACCACATGCCGGCCCCGCACCTAGCAGGCCATCGAAACCTGGCTTACTGGCTCACTCCTGTAATCCCAGTGCTGGGGAGGTTGAAACAAGAGGATCACTATAAGCCTGAGCTGCGTAGCAAGACCCTGTACCAAATAAATAAATAAAAGATATTTTTAAATGAAAATAAAATAATTGGGGTTGTCGGATTCGAGGCCTCCCTCGGAAGGACAGATGGCCCTGGTAATGGACCAAAGAGCAAGTAAAGGAAGCCAGGCCCGCCCCAAGCTTCGTGGGGCCAGCCTAGGCCCAGCTGCCCCACCCCCTCCAGTGTCTCATGTTGCCCAGCAACCGGTCTCCCTAGCAACCCTAGATGCTGAGCCCCGACCCCAGCGTGCTCGGTGGGCGTAAGAAGACCCCGAAGACCCCAGCGCTATGGCAGGGAAAATGATTAGCACTGAGGCAGCGCAGCGCATGAACCTTGTGGCCCAGGATGAGATCTGGTAACATCCCGGGTTCGCTAACGCTGAGGGCTAAGCCGCCCTCAGCACGCCTGGCAGCCTCAGTTTCCCCACCAAGGCCAAGAGATAGTCAGCTTCTGGGTGCTGGGGGCATTCCCCTGTGGGCAGTCCAGGACCCTGCGGGAAGAGGGTGATGTCAGGGGAATGAATCGACCTGGCCCTTTTTTTCCCTCCCTCTAAGACCACCAGGAAGGTTAACAATTTTTGTAACAATTTTAACAGGGTTGGTTAGTCGTGGGCGACCTAAGACGTCATATTAAGATTCACCGATATAAAAAATTAGTATTTGTCTAGGTTGAAGGACCATGCCTATGCACAGTACTTCTCCATTTTCCTGGAATTTTAAGTATTAACAAAGTGTAAATTTAAACATAGATCCATTTTTCAAAAAGATGTATGTTCAGCAGACATGTGTAATGGATATTCTTAATTGGCATTCTGTTGGGTTGCTGAATGTTATTTCGTTCTTTGGAAGTTTGCACCAGTGTGAGAAGTTCCTAATTTGGATGCAAGTTATGTTTTAGTAACAACTCCACATAATTGCTTACCTTACTTTCAATTATCCTATTTAATATGTCTGTGATTTAATCATTTCCTTGTAACACCTTGATTAGTCACTATATTGGTGTTTAAATTGACTGTTTCACTTAATACATTTATTTTTAGAGCAAACTTTATATCACTCTCATAAATGGAAAACCATCGCTTGGTATAAAATACACAATTTCATCTTTAAAAAAAAATTATCTTTGTTCAAGTATCCTCAACAGGAAGCGCTACCATAGAAAGATCTGTTCCCTCTCCCTGAACACCTTTTCCTCCCCTCTCCAACAGAAGAACTCCTACTCATCCTTCAAAACCCAAGCCAGATGGTCTGAGCTCATGAACTGGGGCTGCTTAGCCTTAGACTTCAGTGTCCAATGTCCAGTGCAGCTACTGAACACTTGAAATGATCCAAATTGAGCCTAGCTCTAAATGTAGACTACACAACAGATTTCCAAGATTCATACGGAATAAGTAGCATTAAAATTTCATTACTCGGTCATTTTCCTTTCTTTTGAGAGGACTACTAGGAAGAGTATGGCCATGTACATGACTCGCGTTGAGGCTCAGTTTATGTCTGTTAGGAAACAGCCTCTGCCTTCCTGCTTTGCACCCAGAGACCTTGATCAGAGACTCCAGAACTGTCCGGGTCGGGGAG